ATAGCTACACYGTTGTCCAGTGCCTCATTTCCGTATCTTTTAAGATTGGAAAGAAACCAAGAAAGAGAACAAGAAGCAGCTAACCTGGAATACTTAAAGAATGTTATATTAAAGGTAAAAATATACCATTTTACGGGAAGTTTGTACATTGTTTATTTTAATTTTATTATTCTAACGTCAACCTTATTCGTTTATATTGCAACCAAAGATATCTACCTTTCTCTTGGAGTTAATAAAGACCTATTATTATTTATTCTTATTATTAAGTAGCTTTAATGATACTGAGGAGTGTTTTTTGTTTGTGTTGCAATAGTTTATTGAGTGCGCTCCAAACGAAAGAGAACAACTCGTGCCAGTACTCAACCAAATGCTCAAACTTAGCCAGGAAGAAAAACAAAACATGACAAAGTTTGCGAAAGGTACAAATATTCATTCCTTTGTCAATCCAACCCATTTATCAATTAATATACTACTAATAATAATTTTTCATTTGCGTCTTTTTTTATTTATTGACGTTTATTTCTGTTCCCGTTTGCCAAGTTTTGTAGTTGTTTTGTATGTGTCAGCTTATTTCTTTGCCTGATTTTATTTTTTCCTTATTCTTATTCCATCTGTTTTATATGTATAGTATATTTTTCCTGTCCAGTTTGTAGACGTTTGTTGTTGTTGTTGTTTTGTTCATATATCGTGAATTGCATTTTTCTAGGAGATACCAATGACGACATTCAGCAAGAGGGTGTGTCAGGATGGTCTAGCTACTTGTACCGATGGACATCCTTCAACTAAGAAAACCATTCAAATGCTCATCAAAAAAAACATTTGAATGGTGGCCATACGGAGAAAAACCATTTAAGTGCTCAACAAGCCAAAGAAACCCATTCAAATGTTTGAAAGGAAACCATTGAAGTGATCATTGGGGGCAAAAAAAACCTTTCCGTTGTGAAGAAATTTATGCCTCGCAAAACCATGAAAAGGTGCATGTAGTTTTATGCCACGAATAATGTGTTCTGCGAATGGTCTGAGCGGGAAATCCTTTGAAGTGCCGGGTACGAAAACCTTTGAAGTGCCAACTTCTTCAAGTTGAATACTTTCTGTAAGTGTGCCCTTCACTTGTATAGCCATTCATATGCAGATTGGAAGTGAGGAAAACCTAACAAGTGCCAGGTGGAAAAACCTTTGTAATGTGCGATAATTGTTGTTCCCCTCGCGGAGCAAAGCCATTTTAAAGCTTTTTGTACTTATTTTCGATCCATTTTAAACTGGAAATCCATTTTAATGGAGTCGTTTGGATGAAGACTTTTGAATGCTCAGGGGATCTTTCAGCGCACAAAATCTCAAGACTATGTATTGATTCAGAGGCTGAAAAGTGGGACGCGGGAATTTGTCAAGACAAGATTAATGATCAAATCAAAAGTACTCCAAATCCTTTTTCACTGAATCAAATACATGTTTCTTCGTCTCTCGATGAACTCCGCTTCCTGGTAATAAAATCATGATAATTAATATATAATTAACATATAAATCTTTTTTTAAATATTCTCCTGTGTTGCCCACCGGATAAGTTATATCTCGATTAATTTTGCGTAAATGTTATGGTTTATTTTAACCCTACATGCTGTTAAGATATCATCATGATTCAAGACTTTCCATACCCAAGATCACTGACCACAAACAAAGCATTGAATGGAGGCGATAAGAAAAAGTGAGCACAGATCTTTTCTTTCGTGCGCAGTGCACCTTGGCTCCTCGATGCCTTGTTCATAGTCACAGAACCCAAGTGTGGAATAATCGTGAATAGATTTTTAACTCCACTGAAACCAATTCTAATCTCGTGCAAAAAATGTCTTATTCAAAAACTTAAAAAAAACGAAAAATTAAAAGAACAGGAATATGAAGGAAAAATGAGATAATACATTAAAAGGGGCATATCCTCTTTTAGCGTTCACTAAACAAGTTCTTAATGCAAACATATGAATACATGATAAAAACAGTATGCCTTATACTCAAATAGCATTAGAAATTACCATTTTTCAGTGATGTTATGTATGTCAATGATTTGTTCACTCCTAAAACTACAGATTTTTCGTTTTTTGTTCTTTTATATGTCAATACTCGAGGAATAAGGTCGGTTAGTGAGTATTTGTTACTATAACGGTCTAAAAAGAAAGCAAAAGTACTTTAATGAGGGAGGGGAGGGTAATTGTTAATATTGTATACTCGTTACGTTCAAAACAACTTATATCATCGTCATCCCATACGTTAACTAAATATGAATTTTTGCCAAAATAAGTGCTTAACTGCGTCGATAAAAATGTCTTTTAGCGGACAATGTCACGAAGTAGTTTTTAGAAGTTTTGATAAACATTGAACAGTAGTGCAGATGTTAGAGTGGTTTTCATTAAACCGTGAAATACATTTAGGCGTACTACACTTCATTACTCTTTTTTGTACGTTTTTTCTTTGTCTTTTCGGTGTATCACTCATTATTACAATTTGTTTCACGGGTTATTGAAAAGCAATTAAAAGTTACTCGTTTTCTTCTGTTGGAATACGACTATTTGAAATTATTAAACAATGACTATTAGTCATGGCTTCACAGATTCGATGTCCAACCTGGTCAATGGTCATTGACTGGCAAAAAAAATAACGTTTACAGCAACGACATTAATAAATAATTAAAAGATATTATTTAAATAATTATTTATGGAATAGAGAGAGAACACAATAAAGCTATTTTCATTTTGTAACGGTGTTGTGAATTATTTTCTGTCTCTGTGAAAGTGGATGTCCTTGACCACAGGCAACCCAATATTTGTCTCGAGTGATAATAAAGAGCAAATATAACAGTTTTGAATGCTCCGGCAAACTGCACTATGCTTGCGATTTCCCTAATATCATCTTTTGCCTTATGTCAGTGACATGTAAAATGCATATTAGCTTGCAAAAAAAAGTAAAATAAAAATRATGAGACGTGAAGAATATAGTTAAAAAACTTCTGAGAGAGTCTAAATAACCTTCAAAATCTCAACTCCTACTCGAGTTACAAGGAAAAATCTCCCTTGTCTATTGCATTYCTTTGCAAATTTTAGTCCCTGATCACCAACAATGCACTCTATCCATTGACGAAAGCGAGTTGTGAGGGCTGGAGGGACAAATTAGCCACACTCAGAGTTGCAAATGCATACTTGCAAGGAACATACCATTTTTGCAGCTTTCGTGTTCAGTGGTTGAAATGTGGTGAGATACGAATGAATATACACAGATGTGAAAGAAGAAGTCTCTAGATGAAAGTTACTAGGCCTGAGAACAGCCCTGTACAATCAATTACCTGCTATGTTATCCAATGGCTTAAAATCACTAGTCTAGTTAACCCCATTCTATAAGATAGTCATACCACACTGAAGTCAGGACACGAAGGAGTTTGTAAAGCATGAATATTGCTATCCCACTGTTCGCCTCGATGYAAAGAGAACTATCACGAAGTATAGAACTATAAAGACGACCATCAAGTTTCCACGTGGTAATTCGATGRAAAACAAACACTAYATACAGATCAGTCACCCGACAAGTGCTAATGGCTTCCAAACAGATTACCATGGATTCCAGGAAATACCATACATTGGGCGTGACTAKGTGATAATCCCACTCGATAGCAATTAAGCTTGATTTATATCAAAGTACCTTTTTGCAAACCGGAAATAAAACATTTCGTCATGGAAGTGACGTCATATCCGTTGCAGATTCGCGCGCGCCGTGTTTAAAGCATGCATCGCACGTGGCACCAACACAGATTTATAGAGCGTGTCGCACGCACGTACAAAACCGTTATCACAAAAAATGGTCATTGTAGCAGAACAAGTAACGTTCTTGTGCCTCATTACCCTACAAGAATACCGATYCAAAACAAATAATTGTCACATAAACACAGCCATTTATCATTAATTTGATACAATTTTTAAAACGGATCGTTTGAAAAAGAAAATGGAATTTCCTCGGGCATATAATTAACACTACCTAGTCTTAATAGCAACTATAAATCTATCGACTTTGTCATTATTACAAACTCATTTGTCATCTCGACACTCAAAAAKTCTAGTAAAKACGAAGTACGCTCGAAGCGCATTTCCGTTTGCGGTTTCTAGCAGAAAAGGTTTCCTGACCGTGGCGGATTACAAAGGACAGAGAACACGTATCTTCAGTTGCATATTTAAWTTCGGATCTTTTATAGTWGGCAAAGCACAATGKTTTTTTTATTGATAATTTCGTAAAATTATATAACAATAAATGTGCTTCGCTACTTCAAAGAAGTACTTTGTWATTTTGTAAACTTTGTGCATTAAAAACATCCTTGTACAGTCTTCAACACAATTTCTTGTCTTGATGAGTAACAATGTATTTTTAAACTGTGTTCTTGTTTTATACCAGGTTCTATCTCCCTCAAATCACACTTTTAACTGCTCATCTTTCTGAACTTTGCTTTGCATTATCTAATAGTCTACATAGTGGAATTAAATGACTGTCACTTTCTCTAAACCTCTCTGTTTTGCTCTCCAAAGTCCTTTGATTATGGTAATCTCTCTCAGAATATGATAACAGGTTGTTCAGTCGATGCTTCCAGAAATCCTATTTGTCGTACATTAGAGTTCTGAGGGGTTGACATTCTCATGGAAAACTTAAACTACCGGCTTGTTACATATTATCTTTGCAATTCCTATATTWTRATAAACCAATTCRATAATCACCTAACCGGCATTTTATATGATCGACGACTACATTTTGTGCGAATCAATAACTGGTGGAGAGGATGATTAATTCAGTTTTTCTGCGTCAATCAGATGTGCTTAGWCGTGTTCTCACGTAGGTACACAAGGCAACACCAATATCAAAACTAACCATGCATTAACATCCTTGATAGCTAACATTTACTACTCAACAGTATGCCTACTTCATTCAATTTCCCGAATTTCTCTTAACAAAAACAAACTAACCTGATACGTCATGCCCTATAAAAGCTACACAATAGCAAGAGCTTTCTTTCACCAAAAGTGTTAAATCTCTCTTTGTCTAGAATCAAATAGAATACCCGCTCTAACCCTGTGTAGCCCATTATCAAATCGTCCGTGTAGGATGAAATTCACTTTGGGCAACAACGTTTCTAAAAGCCTCCATACTGTGACATACAGCGGTTTCTTTTTCTGGACAAAAGAACGTTTACGGATCTATTGTAGATTTTCATCTAAGCCGGTTAGCTTAGGAAGTGTTTTAGATGTAATTATGAGGGCATAAGTGGGCGCTTCAGTGTCCATAATGTAACCCACGAGTTTTAGCAGGAGTGCACATCTGAAAGCTTCAGGCAATTTGTACAATAATGTCAAACTATTGACTCCATACTTAGCGTTTTTGTGAACTCATTGATATARTATGTGTAAAAGACTCTAAAGAAAGCAATTTCATTATGATTTGCACTTAACTTAATCACGTTACATTAGCACAATGTACTTCGATTTTCTGTTAGAATAAAGTTTATCTTTTCTTTCATAACTCATTATTAAAGTTTTGTTTCATGAACAAAGTAATATCATTGCAAATGGTGTTTTCCCGTTACAACAGTTAAAAGCGCTTCAGGCATACGGGTTGAGGGCATAGCTACGTAATACCTGTGCAATTGATAAATAGCTGTTCACTAACTACAATATATCATAACCCGGACAGATTTGCGCGTCGACTTTAAGCTAGAAAAAAGTGGGAAATAACTCAATTTCCTCTTGTAGTTTTAATGTTTGTTTTAGTGTTATTTGAAGCATTCATGGACGGAAAAAATACACGTAATGGTCACGTATAAACTTWATACGTCAGTTTCGCGCCACCGCACTATTCCCGAAAACGACCCACTCGTTTAACCGCACTTGCGCTCAGATCAAGCCGAAAGCGAACATAGTCTAAATTATCAATTTCGAAACTACTAAGAATTTTTCTGCAAAAAAAAAAAACAAAGCAAAAAAACAGCCCCAGGAAATGGTGGTTTAGTAAAAATAAAAAAAAGGAAATTATAACGAGAAAAAAATCGCTATCGATAAAATCATCATTTAGACTGTGTTTGTTGAGTGAAAAAAGAAAAAAAAACCGTCTTATCAAATACTTTCTAGTTTATATTTTTTCTACTTATTCACTGTCTTTATTTCTCTACATTATAGTTTTTTCCCGCCTCCCACCATTTTCCATCCATCTGTTCGTTCCCTGTCCATCACTCTTTCAATCTCTCTCTTTACATTAAGAAACCAGCCAAGAAATTATTCACTAAAATCAAACAAAATTAAGGTAAAGAAGAAAAAATATTTGAATATTTTATCCTACAAGAATTCGATGGACTAAAATAAAACTCCATTGAATAGATCAAAAAGTAGAATGATTTTTTTACTAAATTCTTATATCACTGACCTTAGTCAATGTTGCACAAAATGCCCACAGAGAAAAAGTGAAGCACATATTTATCAAATTTCTCGTGATGTTTACGCTAAGATAAGATGATAATAAAATGTCAACGTTATTGTAAGTTAAGACTCAAAATTAGAGTACAGATTCACCCAAGGAGATAAACGTGATATTGCATTAGCCTCGAGGCAAATTAGACGAGCCATTATAGCTCAATCGAGGTGATATCTACCAAGATTATACACCCATAAAGCACAATTACTACTTGCGCACCAAATATCTGAATTATAATCTTGAATCGTCTTGGGTGTGGCATACTTTTAGCGCTTGTAAGTAGACAAACTAAGTGATTTTCGTGCTGACGTTCTACAGTGCGTGATGCGTGTAGTTAGATCGTGCAATATAAGGGTGAAAGCGATATGAAATGGCTTAGCTTATCAAAGCTTATTTCTCATTATAAGCATCAGATTTAAATAGAATCTGTATATCTTAATTTGTCTAGTTTTTTATTGAGCTTAATATGTTAGTGATATGGTGTCTGTAATATACCTTATAAAACGATATCAAGAAAAAATCTTTCGTACGACATCAAAATTTTGTATTCAAGCCACAGGGTTTTTAAGCTTTTGAAGGAAACGTTTGCATATTCATTAGAGTTAAAAGAAAGGCCTAATTAGGTGTTTAAGCATTCTCTTACCGACTACTTAAACAAGCCATGTAAACAAGAAACAGATGAGCAAAGACTGGAATGAATAGAGTCAGAAAAAAAAAAAAAACAGGCAAAGAACACGTTATGTATGTCTGTTATGTACTGATATTGTGCAAAAATGTTAATCAATCAGAAATTATTTATACTTAAACTTGAATTTAAATCGAAGATAGGATTAAAGAGTTAGAAAGTGACTAATTAGAGTTGATGAAACATCATTTTAATGAATAGAAAAAAGAATAACTAGGTTCATGAATGAAGGAAACGGAAAAAAGAAATCACTGAAATATATATTCACAAATTAGCAAGATATATTAAGAATAAATCAATAGTAAATAGACAAAAACGGCTGTAAGAAAGCGAAAAAAGAAAACATGAAAATTGAAAGAAAGAAAATGAAGTAAAGACAACAAAGAGTACGCCTTCTTAACGCAGCAAATTACACCCAAATATTAAAAATAATATTTTCGGGCGAGGGCAAGTGGCGTTCGACTAGACAGTCAGATAACAGACATCAATGGCAGTTAATTCCGGTATGCCACTCCCTTCCTAAAAACATCATCACTGCTTAAATATCTAAAAAAATTCAATCTTGGCGATGCTAATGGCTGGTTAAGGTTTGAAATCGAAAGACAATGAACTCYGTTCCTGGCATACATAATAACTGGACTCAGTGTAACCAATGCTGTGAACATGATACCAAAACTACTACTTTTGATGTTGGTATATCATTTGTACCACGAAATTGAAATACTTTATCTAATGATGGTTGATAATAATGTCTGGATGGAGTGTTTTTTCATAGTTCGAAGTAAAATTAGTTTATGCATTAATTACAATAGCCTTGGTCCTAAGCTACACGTGTTTGACTGGTTCGACATGTAAAGCTGGCTTGTATACCTGCTACTATCATTCCATTATAACAAAGACCTGAAACTCTATCTATCCATTCCGACTTATTTCAACGCATAATTGCGAAACAGGATCTAATTAGAATTTTTAAACGCCAAACTTAAGTATGYTTTTGCAGATGTGCTTCGAGTGAGCGTAATTCGGTTGTTCCATTTGCCTTATTCATGAGACCAGTCGACAACCATGTCACGAAATGAAGGACCTCTTGCGCTCGGAAAGAACTTTTTGTCATAATTTGGTGATCATTAAGAGTTTGTGTTGTCAGTATGTTTACAGTTGAGTTTCACCATTTATCCTATTGATCWTTGTCATTGAGGAAACTAGTAAACAATCCTTCAAGCTGAATACATGGCGTTACAAAGTTRTTTTCTTCTTCACTTTTCTAAGTAAACAACCACAGTATACGAAACCYCTTTTCAAATTGGCGCTAAAAATTAGCTTAATTTCATAACTTTACCTCTTTAATGATCAAAATTCTTTTTACTTGTAAACAATTAGAATTTAAGTTCCTAGTCACACAAAAGAAAAAAATAGTTTTTGACGTTTAGTAGTTGCTGATTTATCATATTCTACTGATATATACCMAATGAAATTAAAGAAAAGTCATCAGAAAATTGTTTATAAATAAGGTCAAAAGTTTATGAAAACTATTGTTGTATATATCACTCTCTTTCTTAATACTCAATTCAATGCATGAGTATTCATAACCTACAATTGTAGATTTATGAACCCAATCGCTCAGCCAACAGAAGTTTCTCTTAACTCCTCATAATAACCAACCAAAAAAACAATGTTTTTACTTTAAATTAAATCCTAAGAACGATGAGTGAAAACTGCCGAACAATTTCAGATTTGATCATTACCAAGCACGCTGTACCGACATCATGAATTATTGAGCTCATTCACACATGCATTTTACCAGAGCTGTTAATTATGTTCGYTCAATGAATGAAAGTGTGTACCGAGTCGCTCCTCCTATCGACKTAGACACAAAGACATACGAGATGATGTGTAATTTAGTTCTCTGCGACTTTCAGTCTGGTTTCAATGCYTTSATGGCGTTGCTTTGGCGAGATGAGTTCAATAGCGAGACCAAATTAAGTTTCTTTTAAATGAGAAMAACAATGTCAACGGAGAATGTTATCGCGCACGCAGAGCTGCGAGTTCCAAAAAATGACAATCTTTCCCAAATTAAGAAAAAATTGCTTTTCAAAATACGTCTAAACTTGCGAATTATTTCACGACACAACTTATTCAAAACAACTGCAGTGTATTTTGAAAATTCATTTTGAAGGAATTCGTAATTAACGCATTTAATTTCCCCTGCAATGTTACATTTGATGAGGCAACTGTAGTTTAAACATTCTCAAATCATTTGGCGATCTATTTTGGTTGGAAAAAGGCAACGTTTCCGCCATTCATAACGGTTGAAATAGGGTATAATTTTGACACCATCTGCGCGGCAACTACGAGAGGGCGTTTGCAGCTTGTTAAGCTCTATCCGGCTGGGTCAAAAACGAGTGTTATATACCTCAGCGAAGATCGCTTTTAAGCCAACATGTTTCTGTATAATCGACCCCGAAACATTTTTGTTAAAATCTTCGCTTTTAGCACTTCTAATAAAGCGAATGACATACGACGCGAGCAAGATCAAAATCGCGTCCAATCATTTACTAATGGGGTTACAAGTTTATCAAACTTCTAGAACCGAAGTCCGTCAGGTGGTAGAAACCTTTTACCAAGTAGACCCATCATTACTCTACAGCGGGATACATTATCCTGCCCGTCTTAGACGTATAGCGTGTGTAGTGCACGGAGACAGTCAGGTTTTAGTGGTGGAAAGCTTTTCGATCTCACGTCGCGAGTTTAATTAGTTTTTCTCATTGTGTTAGATTCTCGCCAGGACTTCACTCCGTGTGATCTAGATCGCAGCACGCCAAGCTCCTCAAACCCTTCCGCTAAAAACCAAAACATTCAATTTCGTTATTCCACAGAATTAAGGAAAAAAGCGATGAAGATTCGGCGGCTGCTGGCTACGATCTGATGGCCTCCGTATAAAAAATACGCCGACAGGTTGCCAAGAGGCCGAAGTAAACAATCCTGCGCGGTTTTTTGATCATTTGATCTGAAGTTGCCTTTGGTCTTGAATAAAATATACTCCTCTTTCTCTCTATTCCATGGATAATATCCTAAAGTGTGTGATTTGTTTCTTGGTTATTACTAAGCGCCTTAGGAAGCAGGAGTTGTAACGGTAGTGCTACGATGGTTTGCGACGCGTTCACCGYTGCCAACTAACTCATGTTCTCCTCTGCAAAAAGCCCTTAAACGCAGGCTATTAAGATCACCAATCGTCAATGTAAACATAAAATCAATGAAGATAAAAGTTTTATCTGTCTCTATTTCCTATCTTATTAGTGTTATGTAATGGCTGAAATCATACAATGCTTAAAGCTCTATGTCTGTTCTAAACAAAGGCACTGGTAATGTACTTCTGTAAGAATAAATAGAGGTTCTAGTCGTCTTTTATTTGTCTATGGACTTAGAGCGAAATTCCCGTTAATTGAGCACGAACCACTTACGTGAGTAAAAGGGACTGACTTCAACGTGGTTATAATTTCATCAGCCAACACAACCCTGCATCGTCAGGATGAACTAAAGCGTTTTATTGTTTTCCCTCATATATATGTTCATAACACAATAACCATCAATATAAAACAGAGGTGATGGATCGTATATACATCAGAACAATCCTACAATAGTTTACACTGCYGCAGATGGACTTCGCAAAAAAGTCGATCGGTTACAAACAAACCACAATTTTTCCAAAAATTAGCATTTCTTCCTTTGTTTGCCAAGCATTACCGAACCGATTCAACACGTTCAGCATATCATTTGACGTCCTTARTGTAAACACGAGGTTTAGCGAAAGGAAAATTTCCGTGGATCAATGATACTTTGGCTTGTMGAGATGACATCTTGCAGAGAAAACCTATGGAGGCGTAAAACAGTCTTTCTTCTCCATTTCTCAAGTTTTTGAGTCTTAACGACGCAATTATCAACACTTGTGAAAATACACTGAATTATTCAAATGTATAAGATCTATCGAGTATGATTTGCGCGTGTGTTATTGGCCYCTTTTCTGGCTATAAAACGTTACAAATCGCTTCACAACTAATTCCCAAATCACTCAACAAAGATCAAACGATCGAATGTAAATTCATTAAAAATGGTTATGATTCTCAAGTTCGGAAGCTATTTTAAGTTCCTTGGATCAATACAGTCGCATCAATAGTTTCTAATAACTACCGAGTCAATCTAGGTAATTTTTTTTCCGCTTGATAAGTTTATAGTAAACCCTCTTCGGACYTGATCAAGAGATACACAACATTGTGTTTAGAAAATGAACTTTTATTTGAACAAGAGCTGTAACTGCACAACTGACGAAGGTAAACTCGTCAGCGTTTTTCTGACAGGCTTGCAGTAAACACTAATATAACTGCGTCTTTTTCGACTAATATTGGAAGAACGCCAGGTGTTATTTGCCGAATAGAAATTTTTTCGGATTCTACCTCAAACACGGACAAATGCCACTCTTAACCACATTGTGGCTGTATGTAAGGATATGAGGCAAAAGCTATTTTTACACGGGTTAATTTCTTGCTCGCTCTTTAGCCATGCCGAACGGATGATCATGTGTTAATTGCGGTGAAGAAGCTGTCATCGGGACACCCAAATTCCAGGGCAAATCATTAGCATCGCTTTGCATTTTAAACTTACAAAAACAACAATCCGTCATTCAAAACTCTGGCGCAGGATTTAATGGCAAAGCGCTTTGGAATAGCTTTACTACAAAACGAAGTTAACTCGAGAAGTTTTCACGTTTCTCACCAGCTGCAAATGCGCAGATGTTTAAAGCTGGTGTAGTCATGGTAACTATGAGAAATTGCAAAGTCTTCCGTGAATAAAATTGCTTTCTGGAAGAATCTTGCTCGTTGCTTACTTGATCTCAACCAAAAACTCGRCGGAAYAAGAGCTATTGAGACTAGTATTGACTTCTAAGCCACATTCAAGTAATTTAGGATTACGAAGTGATACCTTACGGTTGTGCATCCATGGTATGCACCCTTAATAAGCGCTAATGATCATTAATGAAGATACCGGATCACCCCAGCTGCCATCAACACGAACGGATTAACCAATCAGCACACAGAACGACCTGTCATCGCCTTATTTGACGCTTGGCTTGTCAAGTGACATAATAACCATTGGAGTCTTCTACGCCTCAATTACTCTACATTCTTATTCATAACCTAGACCTTCCCTCCTCTATGTATATACTTGTATAGAAATAGCATTTCAGGTAGAATTCAGGCCTTTTGTTTCTCTTTAACGGGTCGTTCATCAAACACAAACTATTTGTGCAATTTTGGGCCAGTCAATTTAAATTTGAAGCGCGCGAAAGAGGTTTGTGGATCACACAACGCGGTCAAAATACCAACATAGCCGTTATWATACATGAAACTAAGTCTAATCAAATCACCCACTAAGTTTTGGAAATTTTTAATGTGCTTTTTGTTTTTCAAATGGAAAATAGAGAACATACGCTGTGTYTGACGTTTATACTCTCATATATACAAGCATAATTCACTAAACTTCGACCTGTACACAATAAATACGGTGAACGTGCTATTCTTGACATGAGTTTTCAGAAAGTCTAGCAAACTTTCCATTAGTATATTCAAACTTCAGCTCATTTGGACTATGAATTTACAATTTGTTACTAGCAAATGTTTCTTTGATAAGTTCACAATAAAGTTGGATTCAAACAACGAAGTTATTCATAAAACCATTGAGATAAGAGAGTTTATATAATAATCAGTTCTTCATACAAAATTCTTTCGCGTAAGATTTCTAACTGAATGAGTGATTGGACAGCAAGCGTCCAACAGTCGAGGCAAGAAATTTTCATAATAGGTAAAAACATAGGAACTTTACCGTGCTAGAAGTTCGTTGAACAAAATGTTGACTTGTCTTTCACATATGAGAAAGTGGCATAGTTCCACGAACTCCTGAAATGTTGTTTAAGACAGTCGGAGGCCCGTTCATATTTGGATGACCCGACGGCTGAAGATTACTGTTGTGGTCCTGCTGCCATTGATGTGGCTGAGAATAACGTCCTGATAGAACGATACTTGATGTAGGTATGCCAGTTGAATTTGTAGAAGCTACAGGACTCTCGCTTGGTGGAAGATATCTATTGATCATGTCCCCGAGTTGATCCGCACAATTTTGGCTAACCGGCGGGTTTCCATTCGGACTCGGCATTTCTTGTTTGATCGTAATAGGCATTGTAGGACTATTCCGCTGYGTGTAAGGTGGTGTTAGTGAATTCATAATACCTGGGCCAGAATTGCCATTGACTGTGTAGTTTGCGGGCTGGCTAGTTATGACACTGGCCGGGGGATATATTTGTGCGGCTGTCATCGAGTACGACGCATGAGAAGGAAGGCCGTTCATGGAGGGCTGTAGCTGYGTTGGAGTATGTGGCGATAGTGCATGACTGCTATACAAGCTATTATATGGGTCTCCWGGATTGTAGGGCTGTATGCCTGCGTTATACATATATCCGTTCATTTGAGCAAAATGTTCCGCGGGGTTTTGTCCTACGGTCCTTTGAACCTGCCCCTGTGGTCCGCTTAACATGGATAACGCATACTTGTTATCTTTCTTCATCAGAGTTTTCCCTTTCCTCCGTGGTCTGTATTTGTAATCTGGGTGCTCTTTCATGTGCAATGCCCTGAGCCGCCTTGCTTCGTCTACGTACGGACGCTTCTCGCCGTCCGATAACTGTTTCCACTGAATTCCCAATCGTTTGCTTATCTCAGAATTGTGCATCTTTGGATTGTCTTGGGCCATTTTACGTCTTCGTTCTCTACTCCAGACCATAAAGGCATTCATTGGTCGCTTGACTCGGTCCGCATTACAGTTACTTTTTGAGTTCTCATTCCCATTCGTGGCTACATTTCCAGAAACGGGATTTGTCGAAGTTAAAATAGCCGACGCCGACATAATGTTAGAGTTATTTAAATGGAAATAAACGAGAAGAACCTTAAGTTGCAGTTGATGAATCAATAGTCAGTTGATATGAACTTTGATTATGTACTCGCTACGAGACGCGTGATGAGAGGTGATCTCGAGTTTCCAACACTGATCACAAGAGCACACGTAAATTTTGAGCCGAAGTTTTTACGTTGTGTGTAAGATGTTTGGTGGCAGTGTGTACTGGCACTAGATCCACTCCTGACCAATGACGTTCAAGAGGCTGACATGCTTGATTAATGACCCAAGCGTTGCGTTACTCTTGTCAAATTGATTGACAGGCCACGAGCCAATCTGGCAGCTGGATAGCGATGTTATGATAAGGGGCGGTCTAGGGAATTTTGATTCTCAGATACTATCTTCTCGCTGACAAATCAGCGCTTTAGTAGTCTTCGTCAGCTGTTTCAATTAACTCCTAATCATCATTGCTAAAGGAAGTGAACTGTCATCAGTCTGCACTGATGAAAATTAGCCGTAGTTTTGCAGGTGTTAACATACTGCCGCCACTCACTGACATGGGCTGCACGTGGTCAGCTGACGCTTGTTAATGATCCTCGTCATTCTCTTTTGAGTCTATGACGTTGCCGCGGTTACCACACCAACTAATTACACCAGCAGCTCGCTGATTGGTCCACAGTTTCGCGCCGTGTTAATTAATTTGCCCACCGCGCCAACACAATTATGGTGCTGAAATGGCGAGCTCCAGTCAAGCTCGCTGCAGGGTCGAACCATTACAAAGGGGGATTCCTTAGAACCAGATTTTTTTTCGCTCTTTTTACTGCATCTGTATTGAGGAATTTGGTGTTCCATATCAGTGGGGGATCTATTTGGGGCTAAAACCATAACCATACTAAGCCACAGGACGGTGATTCAGTGAGGCCGCTCTGCCGCCTAATTTCCATCGCCAAACAGGACTGACCGCATCTTAAACAATGCGCTTACAATGTTTACGTTCAGTGATGTTGCTTCATCTCTATAAATCTGCGCTATCTCCATTTTTTTATTAAACTACTTGGACACAAACATGAACAAGGTTATTACAAAAAGAATCTCAAAGATCATTTTATTTGATAATGTATAGAATTTTCATGGTATTTTTACAAGCTGTGAGATATCTTTTTTTATAACAAATCTACTAGGCAACAGCCAAAATATGTTGATAAGTTTTATAACAAAACAATAAGGAAAAATATATTTATATATATTAGTTTACTGTCGAAAGTGATCTCTTATTAAAGTTATATATAGATACAAGACTTCGAGCATATCTCGTTTGCCAAGGAAACCAAAAACCATTTTTGCATTTCAACAAATAAACAGTACATTTGGTTGTTTACAAAATTTACTTTACACGTTTGATTTGACATTGGAAGTTTGCCATGGCATTTCACTTTACTAAGTACTTGCGAAATATTTATGTAGCAGCAACAGGGTTTTTTTAACGTCCACAACAACAAAGTCATTTAAATGAAGAACCTRTGATAAAAGATTGTAAGAATAGGTGAACAGGCTGGTAMAAAAACCCTTCAGAAAGCTACGTCACATTAGCTAAAACTATACAGACCAGCGCGAGTTTAATACAYTTCGAGGCAAAGTTCATGCTAAGCAAACACAGAAGTTTTGAGAGTAAATTGTGCAAATGCGTTAGCAAACTCATTAAGTTTCCAAGTCAGAAACTAGGAGTGCTGGCTCCTGGGAAAGCTAATACCTCAATTGCGGTTTGTCCGTGGAAAGAAGTTTCGTTCCATATTTAGAGGGTATTTTAAAAGGTTGAGAGCAAGAGGTTAACACGGCTCATTAGATATTCTGTCAAGTCCACTTAGTGCATGGCTACTTGACCATACCTCATAAATAATTCTAACATACAAAGCCGAAAGGCTCCACGACTATTTCATTTCCGACAGTACTTCGAGAGAAACGCGCTGCATTTTCAAGAKAATTTCTGGCTTGTTGCAGTTGGTGCACGCGAGCACAAACCCATTAAAAAGTTGTACGAGGCAGCCAGGTTATCGACCCCCCACCTAGAAACCAACAAAWAGAGTAAATGAAGACGCAGATCATTTGGTCGATTCCGATACCCGTCAAAGTTGGTTGTAAATTAGATGGATGGGTTCCCGCCTCCACCACATCTACAAACTCATGAATTATTGATTCACAAGAGAATAATATTGTTGTGATAAATTCGCGGGAATCGACGAGAATCTGTTAAATCGACGATTACTAAATATAACTGTAAACCGGGAAAAAGATATGATCACAATTTTGCGTTGATTTGTGTATCTGTTTAGCGTAATGTCACATTTGGTGATGAGCTGAAATTGAGCGTTTATCTAGTAAAACTACTTTGCTTAGATCGAGGCAAGGTTATATTTGTGATAAAAACGTTTTCTACTATGAAACAACCATTAAAAACCACTTAGTCTTCTGTATCACTCATCGTCTCTGACGTYGTCTTAATCAGGTTTTAACGCCCGCTTGAAAAACCATTTGCGGGAGAGAGCGCTTTCCACAGCTGAGTCTATAAAGGCACGAAACTGATTCGACAGGAGAATCTATTTGTTGAGTTTGGACGCACGGGATGAGAGTGACTTCGCGTTGGGCAACTCGACTCGCGATTCATAAAATCCCAGGAAATATACATTAACCTTGTCACTAAACCTACTCTTTGTGACGACAAATTAGAAGCTATAAATCATTACAAAACGAAATGCTTATTGTGTGTTCTAGTTGTGCCTATTATTGCTCGATTTTGTTCACAATTCCCCGCAAATTGTATCGAAAGAAAGCCCTCTTTTGTCTTCACTTGAAAGAATATGTTTTTGAAATGAGATAAATCGAGGTTTTTAAAGACATGCAAGCGGCAGATAACTCTGTATTGACGAGTGTTTTAAAAGGGGCAAAATCTTGAGGCGAGAAAACTTTTCTCACGTTCCACATTCAAGTTTACTACTTCTCGATTTTTGCCTTAAAAAGGTAAGAAGCTGAGTTAAACGGGCAATAATGTCCAAAAATGATCTTATTTACGGCTAAGATGACTATAAAACTTCAACTTTATCTACATTTAATTACATGAAAACCAATGTTGAATTTAGAGATGTAGTGGCTTTGGTTACTCAGCTAAACAAATTGCAGTGATAGAGATATTACAGGTCGACATCCCATCAAATAATTTACTTTAATTAGTTTTCTAATTTTYCCCCCCTCTAGTTTTAACTATTACTCTATGCCTCGTATACAGACACGCTGGAGCTTGACAAGAAGCTGTTCTTTGATCCGAGATAGACCACAATCTGCGTACACCTTGACATAATTGAAAATGGGCGGGTTGAATAACTTGGCGCGCGCGAGCCACGATCGGGAAAAAAATCGGCACGGGGTCGGTTAAACTAAAGTCTTTTTGAAAGTTTACGCCGACAAAATTCCGTGGCTTTCTAAACGGCCGTTCTTATTTCCTCAAAAATACAGATAGATAAGAAGAACAGTGGGTTTTGGGTTTTTTAGTAGTAACTTTTAAGCGCTCTTGACTTTTCAGGAACATCTTTTGGTCGAAATGCTCTTGTCAGAACTTGAGTCAATATGTCCTCACAGATGAAAGACGTAGTTATGTTTTGTGTAAACAWMGAGCAGCTGGGCCTGTAAACTACAAGTCAATCGGCCAGCAAATAAGCTCGGAGAGACTTTATATATGATCTTACTTTGGCAAATGAGGTCAAGCACGAGGAAAAAAGGAAAACGATCAACTCGAATTATCAACAACTTCTACATAACAAAGAAATGAAAATGTCGTCCACTTATGTGGTTGAACACAGAGGAAAACTTACTTTCTCTTTATCAGCGTTTGATATTATGGTGTCAATGATATCTATACTCAGATATGAAATGATGGACATTCAGCCCGCAAAACCATACTTTACTAGAATTTCATTTTGGCCGTGAGACCCGGAGTCGCAACTAACAATCATGAGCGTTGCCCAATTTCCTCGCARAGCGGCAGCGTTTCGCACCGCAGATAAACTAAACGAGAAAAACCAGAATAAAATACTTGAAAAATAGTCACTCGTCCGTGTTTACAAATGGCGAAACATCAATTACAAATTTTATTACAAAACTGTGTGAGGCAAAAGGRCTTCTTATTGCAAAATGAAAAGCTGGGCCTTGCGACACTCTTACGTCGGCTGCGCATTATTTGAACAGGACAGGCGATGTCAAAAACTAATTAAAAACCAGCTCAAAATTCATAAGTAAAACTCATTAGGACGCGAACTTTGGTTCTGAATTCCGAAAAAACAGACATTTAACAGTGAAGTTGACAGTTAATTTTAAAAACGGTCTACCAAGTGAGGAAATTGTGAACAATTTTTCGGCAAAAACAAATAGCGATATTGAAATAAATTTAGGTAAAAGTAAGCGAAATACATGCCCGCATGTTTTTSCAAATTAAGTAAGAAAATTGAACATGGATAAGTTATYATTTTCAATTCTTTTTCAAAAAAAATTCAAATACAATCTAAAACAATGTACTGGAAATTCTGTTCGACCAAGAGTGTATTTATGACCCACGATTTGCATATAGGTTTTTTTGATTGCTGAATTAGCATAAAGTTCATTGACAAAAAATATATTTCAGGTTGTAGAAATTTTTTCTTAAACGACTAAAAAATCTGGTGAAAGATTAAAGGCTATTGTGGGTTGAAATCTTTCCTCTCCAGCAAAGCGCGTTTTTGGATTAGCCTAAAATCCTTATACAACGGATAATAAAAAGCCTATATTATGATAAACACTTAGGAAAATCGAAAAAAAAAAAAAAAAGAAAAATCAGAAGGCGCAGAAAAGAGCAATTTCAATAACGTTATATCACCAAGAAGTGTAAAAAAATATTATGCCAGCGACCATATCAAAAGAAAAGKCCTATTCATATATTTTTTTAAAAGTTCAAAGACATACAAATAATTATAATACTTTAATAGTTTTTAAAATTTTCCCTGAGTGAAGACAAGCTTGCTTTTTTTTTCTTTCAAGTGTGTTTTTTTTTTTTCGTTTTTGAAGATTAGAAATAACCCCTGCAAAGCAAGATAGCCTGATATTTGTAAACAATTTAACGATAAATCACTCAACAGATCGATAATTTTGTTTTCAATCCGCCTAATTTACTACCGTTTCAGTATCTAAAAACCATGCTTGAAACAAAATCAAAATCTGGTTTTTCAAGGTTAAGAAATCTCGTCTGGAATTAATGGAGTTTCGTGGCTTACAAGTGATATTGCACGTTATACCATGATTAAARCTCTGAAGCAATATGTCTCAGTTTACTAGTGATCAAAATCTAAAGCAATTTAGGGTCTACCCTCTTATACTCTCTTACTTTATGACGATATTTACTCCTAGAGATAAGATTTTCACTCTATSAAAGAAAACCGTCTAACGATACCAAAATATTCCAGTGATTAGAGCAATCGTTGCTTTTAATATTCTGGACGAAAGCAAATGCAATTGATAGYAAACGCACCAATTGTATAAAAAGTAAAATTTCATTTCCACTTATTTATTCCCTGGCTGTAAATTAGAATTAATAAGACCGCTTAAAACAAATAACTGTAACTGGTACTAGAAATGAGAACAGTTGAATTGTATTTTGAGTTGGAAATTGATGTTTCTATTTAGAAAGAAAGGTGCGAAAATGCGAGAAAACGCACGACAGGACAGGTGAATTTCAAATATTCGTACGAGAAAATACATGAAATGTTTAAATCTTTGAGCAAATTTTGATCAAAAGCCTTGTGTTTTTGAGTGAAAATCGCCACAAGTCATCAATCATCTTGTCCCTCCTTGGCTGCAYTTGTCTGGCAAGAATTTTCTTTGAATTTCGACGCTACAGGAAGAGAACACTTGTCAAAAATAACGAGATTGCTCGGCAAAGAGTCTTCCTACCAGACGTCCAACACCGTTACATTTCTCGTCCGTCCGTTATGAATGCTGTACCGTGTTTCAAAACAACAAGAGTTTTGAAAACATAGTTAATTATAAAGATATCCAGGTTATAATTCCTTGTTATTGAAATACGAATCACAAAGCAAGCTCTTTTCAATTGATATTATTCAATTCACATACGTTGCATAATTCCCGTCATAATTATGACCATTTTGAAACATAGTACTTCCTTCTTTTAGGATTTAGTCTTATGCCCTTTCAGCACTATTACAAAAAGTAGGCTCGACTGGAGAATAATTAATAAGCTTATAGTCGGCTTTTTACAGTRCTTAGTTCGGAAATAGAGMTTTTGCTCAATCCAAAACAAGCGCCGTGCGCGAATAGCTAGAAACARAATTTKCACGGTGGGTCACTTCCGAGAATATCTTCTCAATCTTAACATGATTTTTTCATCTAATAGGGTCGTTTCTATATTAGCAAACTTAACCGAGATTTAGGAGAAGTAATTTTCGATCGTGTCATGAAGGAGATTAAAGTGAAAGTTTGTC